TGTGAAGTGTGTCCTCAATTACCGTTGCAACATTGTTGCGAACGGGTAATTGACTAGTAAGTAGCCGTCCTTTGTTCTCGGGGGTGGCCGCCATTCGACAAACGAACACGTGGCGGCGGCCATTTTAAAACTCCCGAACAGCGGTGTTTTGCCGTCGAGTGTCTGGAACTAAAATCGGACACTCGAGTAGGCGAACACCGCTGAGACCTCCACAGCCCTGGTCCGTTTGGTTCCAAACTACCGAACGGCCCCTCGTTCGGTAGATAGAGAATACCGAACGAGGGGATTCAGGCGAACCCTCCCTAGCCTCTATAGCTAGAGGTTTTCGTGTATTTTATTCCCTTATGCCAGGACCGACCGCAGGGCCCATTCACATGGATCCGAATTCGGCTATCTCAGTTCGTGCGGTCGGTCATTTTATTCCCTCCATACTTTTCCCGAACCCCTGGTCTGATCTGGGTGGTTTTTGGATATGTTGTTCACCCAGATCAGGGCTACCAGGGGATGTAGGATTTTAAGAGGTACCCCTACGTTTAGGGGTACATCCAGAAACGGGGGGAATTGGTGTACTGGATAAGGGGATTATGATGCTGGCTGAGGGGAGGAGATGTGTGGGAGGTTACCAGGACAGGATTGGCTACTGTAATAATTACTGTAATCCCTCCCTTGCATGGGAGCAGGCTTTATAAGGAGACTGTGATTAAAGGCTTGTCAGTTCTGCTCCTGAAACTGTGTGTCGTCCAGTTATTGGGATTGCTGTGGGGAGGTTGCTGTTATTTTACCTGCTGGAAACTTTGCCTATGGATTTATTATTTACTTGTTCCTGAGCCTCACTGGGATTATAAGCGGAGACAACCTGGGGAATATTGCATCTCCGCTACAGTCACTGAGAAGAGAAGTCACCTAGGTCAAAAAAGTCTAGATTACCTCACCTTTATTAAGATGAATGAGGGATGGATCCTGACGGGATTGACAGTGGGCGATACATCCGACTAAAAAAGGCCTGATGAGATGAGCTGCCTTGGGCTAAAAATGGTCCACACGCTGCTATATTTTAGCTCTGAATGCCGGTTGACTTGCGTGACTTATCCGCCACCAACTAGGGTTCAAGCCGCAATGTTTTAGGGCTGTGCTCCCCAACCTTTTTATCGCTGCGGACCGGTAAACGTTTGATCCACGTACCGGTCCGCGGCCCGGGGGTTGGGGAACACTGTTTTAGGGCACTTTCTGCCTGGGAAACAAACATCAATTCTTCTGGCCGCTGCGGCTACAACAATACCTAATTTTTCAGGCATGTGTACATGCCTAATTTTTCAGGCCTCTTGTGCTGCACTGTGGTTTCAAAAATTAAACCAAAAAAAAGGCACATAACAGGGATTAAACTGATAAGAATAATACTTCTTAACACACCTTATAATAATGCAGAGAGAGGCAA